AAGGTTTGTGGAGAGTTCCTCAGTGTGTTTGCTTCATAAATCTAAACCAAAAAGATTTTGGGACAGATTCTTGTCTCGCTTACACAGGTGTGAAAGGTGGCTGACTGGTGCCCACACTGAGCTGTGCTGACTCACGTGTATTAGTGAGTGATAGTAAGTAGGAGCATAGCGGGTGATGCTAATGCGAGCAGACCCGACTGTGAGTACACACAGGAAGCAGACAGATGAAGTAAGAAGCTGCTATTCTTACACCCTCCGTTTTCAGACTTGGACAAGGAAGAACGAGCGTGTGTGCAATAATGTGCAAAATGAACAGAACAGCTACTAAACTGGAAGGTCTTTTCATAGTCTCTGATATAAAAAGCCCCGTTCCGCCCGTGATGTATTGCCTTTGGGGGATGCTGGAATTTCTCTTGTGCTTTCTGCATTAAGATGTAACTCGCAACACCGGCAAAACCTGATGCTTCTAAATATCTCATTGAGTCGATGGGGAAAAACGCCCCAGAGCTGAACGTGTTAGTGTGAATGTGTTCTTACGGACAGAGCTGGGGCCAGGGGAGCGCGAGGGGAGCTGTGAAGAGAGATGCTGCTTCTCGTCCTGTTAGAGCAGCATGAGATCCTGCGGGGATGTTTCTTGCTGCAAGCTGGGGAGAGAGGAAAGGGGATGATGGTAGCTGGCTACCTTCAAGAGGGAGCAATTCCGAAGCACCCTGCAAGGCACCAATTTTTCAGGTATCGATGTTACATCAGAAAGAAGAGAAGAAGATGTCGGGTCCTGGTACCGGTTACCGCTTTGTTATCAGATGAGAGTGCAGTGCTAAATTTTACCAACTGGAGCCTCCTTCCCCAAATGCTTCTTTGCTGGGAGAAACCACCTGGCAGCAAACCTGCCAGCTACAGCAGTCAGGTCTCCGCATGCAAACCCCTCAGACTGAGTCTTCAGCCTTGTCCACCTGTGCTGACAGCAGCTAGGGAAGGCCACAGGCATAAACTGCAGCCCCGCAGGGTCATTTCCTGCAGTGAGTCGCTGAACTTCACAATTGACCCACTGGACGAGGGAAATTATGCAAGAAATGCCAACAGAACTATTGAGACGTGCAATTATAAAAGAGCTCTCCTGCCCTCTAGTGACCTCCCCTCTCCCGGGCGGCTTCTCCCAGCCCAGCCTTTGCTCTCCTCATCTCCTCCGGGCTTGAGGGACCGGGGCTGGGGAGATGCGGCGTCTGTCCCTGCAGAAATGCCTGTTCACTGCCAAACACAGCTGTCCAAGGGGGTTTCAGTAGCAGGGAATAACTGGGATTACGTAGCCAACTACCTTCTTTTGCACAGTGGTTTCTGGGCCAGCATTGGCCTTGATAACATTGCTGGTCAGTGTGATTGTAATTTAGTTAAGACACAGCCAGCTCCCTGTAAAGACCTTATTCAGTATGCACAAGGATCTCCAAGTGACAGATACCCCACAGTGACCCAGTGTGCCCCTGCCACCACACATGCTCAGCCGACAGAGTGGAAAGCTTTGCACTGGGAAGAGGTGAAAAAAATGTAGTGGAAGCAAACTAAAGCGAAATGACAAGATTCTCACCTCTTGTTAATGGATGCAACTCCTCTGAGGTATTCAGTGGTGGACAAAAAAACAGTAGTGAGATGCCAGCATATGGGGTAGGAGAGGAATTGTTCAGAGAAGAATAAGATAGGGTGATCACCAGGGACAGGCTCTGGGTGAGACAGTGGGGATCTAACCACACACTAGCACAGTGCCAAGCCCCGGGGGGGAATTTTCTCTGGTTCAGCCACTCTGACATTTGACTGACAGGACTTGCTTTCTACCAGCGTTTTCCTTTTAAAAAAGTGAAGTTTGGGTGCTGACTCTAGAGGGCAGCATATGCCGGTACATGGGGCTGGGGGGGGCCCTGCGCCCGCCACCCCCTCTGGTGCGAGGAGGAGGAAAAAATCCCGGCCCAGGTTATCCCGGGGAAGCAGCCGTGAAGATGCTCACGCTGTCCTGTGAGCATCTGAGCACAGAAAAGGGGGACCAGGACGCAGGGAGACACGGGTGTGGGCAGTGAGGGGGTTCATCTCTGTCTGCAGGTGGGACATCCCAACCCTGAACCACCCTGGTCCCTTCCCTGCCTGGTCACAGACTTTTTGGTTTTTTTTTTTTTTGTTGGGTATTTTTTTGTTCCCCAGACAAGTCTTCAAAGGGATGAGGCACCAAAACCAAACAAAGTAAGTCTCAGCTCAAATCCCCACCTGCTGCTTAGCCCCTGCCAAGGGGCAGCCGCAGAGCCCTGCCTTGGACCCATCGCTGGCTTCAGGAGACCAAAACCAACAGATCCTCTGGCTGCTTGAGATGCGCCACTAAATGTTTCAGGGCTCCCCATCTGTAAAACACAGCCAGCCATGCGGGCAGGAGAGACGAGACCCAACAATGCTTAGGTCACTGGGGCTAGGTAGTTTAACCAGAAAAAAAAAAAAAATTGCACTTTTAGGTCTGTTAACATGGCAGCTTAAAGTGAAGCTCTTTGATGACCCTCTCTTAGTCTTTTGTGAAAAGAAGTAAATAGGAAAAGATTTTTTGGCCTTACACTGCCACGGGAGGATGAGGTGGATCTGAGGAGGAAAGCTGAACTCCAGGCCCTGGGATTATTAAAAAGAAAAATGGAGAGAGAGATTAACAATTTTTGACAACCCCCTTTTATATTTACAATAATTAGGAAGGTGAGGGTGGAAGGAGAAAAGGCTTTAAAGGTTCTTTCTCTGGCTTAATCTTATCCCTCTTCTGGGGACTATATTTCACAGTGGAAAAATAAGTGTGTGAATCACCACAAAAATACATCTTGGCTAACACCGAAGGGAGAGGCTAACAAGCTGTCTGGTACCCCAAGGTGTTTCTGTCAGCACTTCCTTAGCGGTCAGACGTCTGGCTGTCCTTTCACCTCACCACGTGCAGAGGTTCACATCGATAGCTCATCCTCTTGGGGTTTATTTAGTGACAGGTAATTCGATAAAGAACTTTGCTGTGCGTGGTTGGAGCTCAGCTGCTGACTTCACCGACCAAATCGTATGTCCATCCTTGCTGTCCCTGAGGAACAAAAGCAGCTCCGAGCAGCGACTCTGGAGCCTGCCCTGACTCGTGCTGTGGATTATCTGCTGGCTCTGGAGTCTGTGGTGCTGAAGAGGAAAGGTGAGAAGACCTCTCTTTGCTTTCTGAGCCCAGGGAACTGTATATCCTGGGCAGTCCTTCCCACTTGCAAATTCTGAGGGCATCTTCTCAGAGACCTGGTGGTCCCAAGCCCATCCCCATAGGATGGCTTGAACATCAGCTAGTGCCGCTCTGCATCACAGAGACTGTAGGCAGGACTGTACCCGGAGCTACAGAGTTAAATGAAAAAAACAAAAAAGGAAAAGAAAAGGTGGAGATTTTTCTCAGACCACCAGCTGCTGCTGTTGCAAAGGGGATGGGCTGAGTGGCATTTCCCTGTGTCACAGTGGTTCGCTGGCAGCAAAACGGATAGAGAAGTAACTCAACCCACTGAAAACATCACCTGTGTGTTTGCCCACAGCCAGTGGCCACAAGGTCACTTTCCACAGACAAGTGACCCTTCCTGCCTCACACTACAGAGCTAGCAGAAGTTGAAGGTGACCCAAGTCACTCCCTGCAGGAAAGAGTGAAACCAAAATGAATCAAAAAAGGAAATCAGAATCAATATTCCAAAGTCAAATAATCAAAATTGCGTTATGGAAACAGAGGTCACCCAGAGAAAAATGTAATCAGACATGACAGCCCAGCTCTGATTTCCTCTCTCTGCCAATCCCGGGCGGGAAGACCTTGTGCCCAAGGCAAAGTGTCACCTGCCCACGTTACCGAAGCACCATACGGTTCGTACAGCTGACAGCAGATGCACAGACCTGGAGGGATGGGGGACAGAAACCTGCGGGAACTGGGTGAGATGCAGAGGGTCGTCATTTGAAATAGCAGAGG